ACAACTGAAGATAACATAGTTACTTGACTGTGATATAGAATTGAATGTGGCTGGAAAATACATAATACTGCTCCTTTAAACAGAGATTTTGAGTAATCAGTTCCATACAGTAAGTTGGAGGTTAGTTTCAGCTATTAATTCACCACCTATTAGCAAATTTTATGCAAAATCACCTCTGAATTGTACTCCTTTTTGTGTTTGCTAAAGTTGCATGTGACGGCCATTTTTAGAGGAGCTAAATCCAAACTTTAATCAGTATAGGTGCATATCTAAAAAAATACTCTCAGAAAGTTTCACAAAAATCTATTTAGTGATTCATGAGATATTTTGCTAACGGTACAGACAAACACACACACACACACACACACACACACACACACACACACGGGTGATAATAAATGCACTGTGTCTGCAGTTTTCATGTTATTGATTCTTTGTCAAATCTTGGGAAAAATTGAAAAACTCACACAACTGAAACACAACACAGAATAAATTGTAATTATGCTGCTTGGGTATACTGAAATTGAACTATTGCAGGACAAAAAAAATGTATTCAAAGCATAAATTTAAAATCTGCTCTGAAGTTGTTTGTCTTTGTTTAAATTTATCAGCATCATGACAGTCACAAAAGGGTAATTTAAAGGTTTTGACAGTTTTGTTTCTATTAACAAGCCAACACTTGTGTGTTATAGAAATGCGCTACTCGAGCTTTAATGCTAAAGACGATGAAGTTAGCGTGTGTCCTGTATGATATTCCCCCCTCTGCTTTTCATCTCTGTAATATAGATGCAAGCTCCGTAATGCTCGCTGGGAGCCAAGCATGAGATTGAGGATTTCTCACACACCATGCATTATTCATACTCCAGAGCAACAGAGTGTGTAAGATGAGAATTACACAGCATGAAGAGAACAGGGGAGAGGGGACTGAGGGGGGTGGGGAGGAGGAGGAGGAGGAGGAGGAAGGAGAGGGGAGCAAAGGTGAGACATTGTGTGGAAGAGAAAAAGATTAAGGAGAAGGCGTGAATGAGAAAGAATGAGACAGTGGACAGTGTCAGATCCTCATTCCGCCTCTCGTTCATGTTAACTGCAGGAATGTTTTTTTTTTTTTCTTTTCTTTTTTTGGAGTTTGAGCACAGTGAGGTGGAGGAAATGGGGCCCAGAAAAGCTCCAACCAGATTGGCGAACAATTTGCATTCCGCTAAGTTTGTTTGCATTCCGAGCACAGAGCGAACGAACGGTGAGCTGGAAATTTCAGGCTTCGCGTTCGGCCTTCGTCTCCGTAATGAAAAACAGCGGGAAGCGAGTCAGGGCTGGAATTGATTTGTTTAACAATGGAAATGAAACAAAGTAGGAGGCATGGAGCAAAACAAGACGCATGCCGTCTTCAACAAAAAACTTGAGAGCGAGAAATTGTACGACTGCAGCAGATACGATTTGACACATGACTTGTACAAAACATAGAGGCAAAAATAATTGGTAGATTGTTTAAAAAAATTATAGAAGTGTTACTTTGACAGGGTGTAAGTGAGACTAGTTAATAATATTTATTTTTCCAGCTAAAAATGTTAAATAAAAATCAAATGCAGTCGTTGCCCCCAAAAGTAATTTATTAGCAACCATTTCCTGATTGTTATTATTAAATCAAAGCAGCGTATGTAATATCAAACAATAGCAATAAAGCCTCAGCTCTCTCACTGATGACCCCATTTGCTTGGTCTGAAAGCCTCTTAACAGAAGACTAATGCCGTTAGTTTACTCTGTTAATGGAATATTATATTACATCTTTTCCCCAACACAACTTAAATAGTGAGCAAGTGYGTGTAGAAGTGTGTGTGTCTGTGCGCACACATGCATATCTCCACAGAAGCAGCCTTAATGACAAGAATGTGACGGTTACTGGCTTTTTAGCTTCCCAGTGATGAAAAGCCAGTATTAATTTAGGCTACAGATTTCATTTGTTCCGAACAGGAAAAACAATATAAATCACTTTTAGAGTGATTAGAGAGAGGGTTAGATTAATCCAGGCCTGATTAGGGCATTATGCCGGCTTGTTATGGACACACAGGGTGACTAACGGTAATTACTGTCTGTAATAGGGGAGCACACGTTCAGTCAAGGCGCGAGCCACGGCCAGTGGGAGAGAATTTATGTGTGTGCAGCTCTATGCTGCATGTGTGAGCATTGCTCGACTCGAATTAGGACTGAAAACGTTTGATTTTTGTCATTTGCATGTTGGAATATTTAGACGGCGTGCAACAGAGGGCTGTCTCGCGCGCGACAGAAGGAGAGGTGAAAAGAGCTGCGGCTCTGTTTATGGTTATTGATATCCTGAGACAAACATATTCAACCTGGATAATAAAAACAGATGGCTTGTATATTTGGTAAATATTACTGTCGAAAACGAAAGAGGCGCTAAATCAGCAAATCGAAGCCGCACACAGATGAGTTGAGATCTGAACAGAATGAAAGGATATCCTGATTGATCCCGGTCTGTTTAATGTCATCTTCTCAAAGACACGAGTCAAATGTAACTTTCGCTTTTATTCTTCTCGAGCAAGGACTTCATTTGCTGCTGCTGTCATTGCGACGGGGGAATTTCCTGCAGGTGTGAAGTTAAATATCTTTTACAGTTTGGAAGCAGACATAAGGCACCCAATGAGATGTGTCCCATTAAAGGCATGGAAAATAACTGCACATATTTAGCAGGACACTGCACATCTCTTATCCCTTCTCCTCCACACATCTTTCCCCCTCTTTTTTTACTTCTTCTTTATGACAGCAAATGTTTCTTTTCACCACATGGCTGGTTAAAAGGGGGCTTTAACACACTGTTGGCTCAGCAAGAACTCCCTGCCATTTTAAAAAGGGTGAGAGCCCCGCACCACCGCCACCCTCCCCGCAACGGTTCCTTTGGGCTGTAAAACAACAATCGAAAAGCACATTTTATGAGTGCACGCCTCTGCTCTTTGCATGTTTATGTCAAATATTTGGAACAAATGGCATCCATTGGCTGGAACAACACAGATAAATCAAAGCAATTCACGGGCAAAGAAAGCAGGACCGGGGCCACTGAGAAAGTGGCCCACTTCACGGCTGACAAGAGGAGTGCATTATTCAATTAATACCTGAAAGGGTACATTTTATGCAGCATTTACTGAAGCAGCCTCCAGTCAACATGCGCAGAACGCATCCAGATACGCACAAATACTCCCACACAAACACAAGGACTTGTGTTTGCATCCTGGGAAAAGACTGGACTCCCTCTTCCATTTTGCCAAATCAAATATACAGTGAGAGCAAGCTAAAAGGCACTTTCAATCAGCCACTCTGGGTCTGTCTGTCAATCTGGGAACAACAACAATCTAGCCTGCTTGGAGTGGTCTAGTCAACATCCATTCCCCAATAAATTCAATCAGYGACGCTTTGTGTGTGCGTTCGTGTGTGTGCACCACTGTGTTCGTAAAAGGCAAAGCGAAAAACAAGTTTTTCCATAGTTTGTTTTAGAACAATGACAAACAATCTTTTTAAAGTGACGCCTACATGTATAAAATCTCAAAAACGTCTAAAAACAAAGGCAGGAAATAAAGCAGCGCAAAAACTTAAGCGCAGCGCTCTTCCTCTTTTAAAGCAATAATAAGAATCTCTAGCTCACTAAATAATCTTGGAAAGTCAAGTAGCAGAGGTAACAGGCCTGAGCTAATGACATTGATGTGAAGGGCTGCACGCTGGAGTGATTGCCTGACTGTCTGAGACCCAAAAAAGCAGCACAAGCAGGCTCATCATGGCACCTCGCTCTCATTATTTGGCCACAAATGGAAATGCAAATCGCTCGCTTTGCTGCGGACGCCTCAAATTTATTAAACTAAAAGGTTTAATTTCCATTTTTCTCTGCATCAGCTTTATTTATAAATGTCGTGCCCTATGAAGACCCTGTTATTTTCTTCCTCTCCTGCAGACTCTTAACAAATCTGCTCATTAATATGGAAATAGAGAATCAATTGCTTTCCCAGCGACAGAGGGCTGCTTCCCTCCGCGGTGTGTAATATGTTCTGACTGGTCATCAGCGCAAACAATCTCGGAGGCAAACACACACTTTATATTAAGCTATATGGAAACGCAAACCTATACAATATACTGTATCTGTATTTTATGCAAGAATGCTGCATAAAAATGCTGCATTTTACCATCCAATCATAGCCTCAGTTGAATACTCAATTTTCCAGCCTATTCAAGCACTGTCAGGCTATTGCCAGAATGACACCAGATGTTGCAGCATTAATAACCCATAATATCAAGTGCTGCTCATCCAACCTTTCAGCTCTCTAAAATAACACTCATAGACCTTAATGAGATCTAATTAAGCACAAGGTTCTTTTCTGGGGCAATATGATGATTATTGCATCTGTGGCTTTTTACACTTGGTTGTCATATCTTGCAGTAAATTGCTTCTGTTATTTTCTCCGTCCATCACGTTGCCTCTCCCTTTCTGCTCTCCCCGTCCTTTATTGTGTCCATTTTCAGCCAGGGAGCGAACTTAACACAACTATCCACTCTGGTCCTCGACCTAATGAACATTTCTAAATGGCCATGACCAGCTGGTTAAGAGACTAATGCAGCAGCTATTAACCAAAGCGGTTGTTTCCACACGGTGTCATGTGAGGAAAGCAGCCTTAGAGAGGCAGGAGGGAGCGGGCGGGCGAAGACTGGACACTGTKTTCACATCTATTCCTTTCCATACAGTTACATCCACACATCGCACAGCTTGACATAGCATGTTTATCTTTCACATTCTGCAGCAAACAAACCATGTGACGTATATTCAACCCACAGTGCGGAGCTTATTAGAGGCTGAAGGTGTGTGTGCGTGCGTCTTATTAGGAAAATTCAGTTTCACTCAAGGTCTCAGCACTGCGGTTGCAGACCACTGGCCATTGATTATTCATAGAGTCTGTGATTGGGTCCATTAATACGAGATTAGGGAAGGAACCGATGTTCATTTCGTGTGTGTGTGTGTGTGTGTGTGTGTGTGTGTGTGTGTGTGTGTGTGTGTGTGTGTGTG